TAAAGTGGGTAGGTCTTCATTTGCACATTCCTTTCTCATTTACTACAGCTTAATATTTTTCCCCCTTAGATTTATTTGGCAATATAAATTTACTTTAATAATTCATCTACAATCTGTACAATTCCTATTCAAAATAAGTGCAAATCAGTTTATAGTGCCCATATGGCTTATATCCGAGGCTGAGTTATTTGTAATAGCACATCTGGAAGGACTGTGGGCAATATAGAGAATACAGGAATTAATATAATATTTAAAACCTATATGCCCTAGGTTTCAATTTTTTAAACACTTTCCGAAAAAAATATCTAGGGAGTAGTGTTTGACCTAGTGGTTAAGATGTAGTTAAGACACCTGCATCTCGTATCAGAGTGCCTAGGTTAAAGTTCTGGCTCCAACTCCCCATTCTAGTTTTTTGCTAATGCAAACCATGGGAGGAAACAGCTCATGGATTAGGTACCTGGGTCCCCTGCCACCCACATGGGAAACCTGGGTTGAGTTTCTGGTTCTCAGGTTTGGTCCAGCCCAGCCTAGCCTTGTCTGTTGCATTTGGGGAGTGAATCCACAGAGGGGAGTTCCCTTGTTGGCAGGTCTGTCTCTCGCTCTCTATCTGCCTCTCAAATAATAATAATGAATAATGATAATAAAACAAATGAAAACAGAAAAAGTTGTAGCTTAATACTTTTAATATAAGAAAATTTTAACAATTGTTCATAAATACTTAAATCATACTGTTAAACCAAAACACAGATAGGATAGAATAAACTACCTTCAATTAGGAAATATCCTTGAGTTAGAGTAAGCTCAATAATTACTGAACCTAAACTTTAAGGAGATGAGAGATTACATAGTCTACTTTTCTCACGTTTTTGAAAAATGTACATGCATATGAAAGCAAGACTTTGTAATGGTAATTTGCATTTTATCCTTTAAAAAGTCACATTTTCCTTTTTAAATAAATACATTTCCTAGATCAAATATGGCATAAGAGCAGTCCTCTTCACTCAAAGACCTTTTATTTTCTTTCAATTTAATTTGCAACTATTTTTAATGTCTGTACAGACAATAAAAATATAATACCTGTGAGAAATGTATGAACTTTAACATTAGATAATCACTCTTAAATGGTGGTGATATAATTAACTTCCTACTTAAAACTGGACTAACTCTGATGTCATTTTTTCTAGTACAAAGCTACATTGTAATTAATATGTAAATACTTATATAGGCCCCAGTCTTATTTGGATTAGCTTTTCTATTTACAGACTCAGGCTGAATTTCTTCTCTTATTTTAAAGTCCTAATAAAGTGACAATAAATTTTGTTTTCTTTAGTATCATCTTTGATAGCTAATGTACAAACCTCCAAAAACTGTGCTCAGATTACCAGACTTAAAAACACTAACTTGATGTGGGCAATTCTGTCATCAACATCTCTTGTTTCTAAATTTCCAGAGAACAGTAAATCACTTAAAATATTCTTCCAAAGTGAGGACTATGATTTCTCCAGGATAAAACATCTTCCCAAGTTTCCAGATTCTAAGCTTTGATATTTGGCTCATATTTCTACATTTCAGTAAAGTTTACAATTTGCTAATGCTGATGTGTGATAATCTAATAAAATCTGACCTTAATGGGTTATAGGCCCAATTTACTAATAAAACCTAATTCAATTCTCTTTGGGAAATGCAAATCATTAGTGTCTAAGCAGTGGAACTGAATTTCCACGACTTTTTGATACTAGAAAGAAGTTGTCTCTATAAAATGCCTAAACAAATGGACTAATACATATAATAAACCCAAGAGAATTCATTTACAGCATAAAACAATAACACCATGTCTGTAAAAACACACATTGGTTAATTAGGTGAACAAATGATCTCACAAAGCATTTACTCCTTTAGACTGAGATTACCCCACCCATTTAATTCTCATTTTTATACAACTGGATTCAATCTGTAGAGAACTTAGTGGGCTAAAGAGAATTTAAAGGTAGTGGACTAATTACTTAATGTGTTAATAAACTCTCAGCAGCTTGCCTCCAAGCAAATTTAAAGCACCATTTTGCAGTAAAAACATGTCATATTTATTAAAGCAAAAGAGGTAAACAATATGTTGTATTGCACAAGACCTTCATATCTTACTCTGTATTTTAATACTTATTCTAAACTTTCATTGACAGATTAATATATTACTTGTCATCTGGAGGTGGTAATAGTGCAATAGTAAGCCTACCGGCTCTTAACCATACTTAAAGGCTTCACTATTTATTAGCTACCTGGTTTTAGGTTAGTCCCGTTAAAATTTCTGCATCTTAACTTCCACATTAATTAAAATAGGGGCAATACTATTCTGTGTCTTATCTACCTCATGCATTTGTTGACAATCAGATGAGATACATGAAGGTACAAATGCTAGATAAATGCTGGTTATGAGTCTTTGTGTACTGTACTTAAATTTTGACAAAATGTCTTGTTTTATTATTTGAAACTTTTAGAAGGACCCTAAGACACTCTATCTTCTCAAATAAGAAGTAATTTGCAGAATCAGGATGGGAGTATTTAGAAAGAAAAATGAGATTCCATGAAAGGACTGTGTTAGCAAGACTGTTAACAGTGCAAAAAGTTTTTACTGGCCTTGGTATGATTTTCTCATCAGAATCCTGTTGTTACACAGCCACTAACACACTTGTCCTCCTGATTTTATTATTTCAGAAGTTTCAGAACAAAATGACTGCTTTATTATTTTAGGTATAATTTTACTTGAGATACAGTATTATTTCTATGGATGGTTTTTTCATTTCAAGAAATTTTACCATACATTTTTGTTTTATTATTACTGATGAAGGTGGGAACAACTTAAAATGATTCCTATTGGTCAGATGTTGTATTTATTACTGTGCTTGAAATAAATATTTACAGTTGAGGGGGCTTCAAAGTTTGTGAAAAATAGGATTAAAAGGCATGTTTTCCATGAATTTTTTAAAGTCTCCTCGTTTTAAAAAATTCTGTCGCTTGGATAATGGAATATAACTTATAATAAAAATCTGCACAGATCTGATATTTTTAAATCAAATTATATCTTACTTGAAACAGAGAAACTTTTTAAAGTAAACAACATGTTGTCTTCTTACCCAAATCTGCTGTTGTTACAAAGAGGTTCTACTATATGTGTTTTAATCACTATTTAATAAAATTCTATTTAAACTGAGAAGGAACACTTGCAAATATCTCAAACTAGATCTAGCTAAGAACAAATATTAGGGATCCATATAAATGCACATATCAAGAAAAAAAAAACAAAATCTGTAACAGTACCTTACATACACAAGGCATTCAATGAGTTTTTATTTTTAAATATTATAATAATTTAATAGGCTTGTCAAAATGAAAACATGTTTAACATGGTAAGAGTAAATAAAGAGATCTTTTATCATAATGTTTTAACACATGGAAATGAATATGAATGGAATAATCAAATATTCTTAACCATACTGCCTACTTTCAGTTAGCAGAATTACAGATGTGGCAGTTCTGTATCCAACTTAATGCTACCAAAAGATCAGATATGAATAACATTTTTGTAAGAAAAGAATTTTCAATAAGGAAGAAGAAAACTAAAAGGTCTCTTTGGCCAACAATTCCAGTGGAGAATTTTATGTAAATGAATATTTACTGTTAAATATATCTATTTTGACCTATATACAGGGTTACTTAAAGAATACTACTTTAATACATTCTAATATGCGGGTAAAATATTGTGGCACAAAAGCAGGTGGTGAAAACAACATTTAATCCACAGATACATATAACTTAATATACTTGATGTATCTATTTTCTTTGACACATAATAAATTTTTATCTATTACTTTATAAAATTCTTAGAAATGAAATTATGAAATTAAAGGAAGTGAACAATTTAAGGCTCTTGCTCCATATCCCCAAATTCCTTTCATAAATTTTTATCACTTTAAATTCTCACAAGTTCATAAGAGTACCTCTTTGCTCCAATATGTGGGTATTAGCAATAAAAAGTCCCTGGCAATTGATACATAAAAATACTATCTGGCTGCTTTCTTTTATAACTACTATATCTAGAAAAATTACTAAAGTCAGTTATTTTAAAAGAAGGCTTTGTGAAGTATGTTCTCACTGAAAAGTAACAGAAAAAGAAATCCATAAATAACAAAAAGCTACCATTATCTTTGCTGTAAATTTAATACCATAATAAGTAAAGCTGTGTTTTAGCTAAAGATTATCTTTAAATAATTTCCTAGGTATTTACCAATTAATTTGGTTTTTACAAACCTGAGGAAAATAATTGCTCTAAATATCTATCAAAGCAAATATTTCTGGGAGTTCTTTTCACTATTTTTTACCCTTCCATGTAATTTCTGTACTTACTGCCATAGTAATGAAGGCCCAGTAAAACTTAAATTATTAAAACAAATAATAGAGTTTGGATGATCAATTGAAAGTTGATAAAGGAGTTATCAAAGAAGGGATTTTGTAGGCATATTTACTTTCCTCTCAATATAAAATAACTTTTGCTTGGGCAAATTAAGGGTTTAACATGGAAAACAGTTTAATTTTTCTTTAACTCCTATCATGTAGTTTTGGTAGTAACATATAAACTATACAATGCTTTTTAGACAGAGAACATGAAATTTTGAGGTTGCTTTTCTCAAGTGAAAATAATCAAGTAAACTAAATAGCTGAATATAGTTAAAGTGGCCTTACAGCTAAAGAATTAAGCCTAATTTTTACATGTAGAATTCATATCTTACGCATATTCATACATTAAAAATGGGGTAAAATATTTCTTATATATTAAAGAAATAATTTTGTTACTTCTACTTAATATGATTTTTAAAGTGCAGATAACATTTTAACTATGATTTAAATTTTGAAAAAAATGACAGAGACCAGAAGATAGATATATATATATATATATATATATATATATATGTCTGTGTGTTTGTGTGTGTATATACTAATGTATTCTAAGAAAGAAAAAAAGACAGGCTATAATATACTCATAGAAATATACACATAGAAAATGAAAGTCTAGAAATCAAATGGCTCAGATAATGCACACATCTAGTTCATCTTTGACCTTACTGAAATGGTCAGTCAATGACATCATTGTGCCAACCACAAAGGCTTCAAGCTCTCAGAAAAATATTTTTCAAAGCCCCAAGGAAACCTAAGCAGTCTCTGCAATTTTTTTCCAGTTTATGAAAATTGGATTCCTATAAAAGAAAAATGGACCATTTTTACTGCAACAAAAACTGATTTGTAAAAGCTGGAAGCAGTTTAAAAATACTCTTAACATGAGGTTCTTGTTAGTCTTGAAAAGTAAGAGTTATAATAAAAAAAAGGTCCAAAAATATGGCGTGGATACATGGTGTATAACAGGAAAAAAAAAAAAAGCTAGCCTTGCTCCTATTATTTTTAATTAGCTTCAATAATAAGTTCCACTTTACTTTCTAACACCAGTTCAGATCTGGGGAGGGGAAGATTTACATTTGACACTCTGGGATTGGCAACTCCACAGCTAATGCCTTGGAGCCCTAATGCATTTTGCATTAGCTCTAAATGTCGGGAAATCCTGGCGCCAAGAAGTTCAAACCAATAGTGACACATGTCTAAAATCCAGGATTCGCTGTCCAGCTGCCAGTATCTATTTTATCAAACATCTAGTCTCTCCTGTATAACAGGAGAGATGAGTTTTACAGTTTTCACTGTTTCCAATTTAACTGCCTTGCTATATTAGAAAAATGCAGGCATTCAGATTAAAAAAGACCCCTGACTTGAATTTTAAGAAAAATACCACTTTGGACCGCTCAAACACTTCTCTAAATCTGGCTTTGTTCCTCTGATTTTAACACATTTGTCCTGGTACTAAACTGCCATCTTAGAAAAAAATAAAAAAAATTTTTTTGAACAATTAAAAAGCCCCTCATATCATGCAAATTAGAAATTTATTCCTTACTTGGCAGGAGTTTGGGATAATATACTTTACATGAATATAAGCAAGCTGAAATGTTAAAAATACAACAAAGACCAAAGTACCCTAAGAGCTGGCCGAGGAGTAAGCCACTTGGCAGTGTCATATTGTTTCATGTTTCACCCACACACTAATGTCACTCAAATCATTGAAAGCATTAGGAATGATAAAAATTCACCTTTTATATATTTATTTTTATTTTTTTCCCAGATAACTTGACAGTACTTATTTATCAAAGGTACATGATAAAGAAGTAGGGAAAGAATTTATAAGTTATCTGGACCATTCCCTTATTTAAAGAAAAAAATACTCTCAAAACAGATAATGGTCCCTCTTTTTAAGGGTATTTAGAGAATGAGCTTTTTTGATATTTAAAATTCACTTAAGATTTTATTTTTTTCACAGTTAACCCGAAATTTTCAGTGTCCATTAAGTCTGCTTATTGTCATCTTCTCAGTAGAGATTAATGAGTTCAACAACTCCTCTTCAATGGACTTGTATTCCTTGAAAAAAAATCCCAATTTTTAATAAGTTAAAATAAAAACTAAAAAAATGTTTTGAGTCAATGTATTTAACCTAATAGGTTTAGATTTACTTACTGGATATCAGAAGGTGAAAAGTAGCCACAAGTGTAAAATTTCACGTCTCAGATAGTATGCAGCAAAAATCATCATACCAACATAAGTGAGTAATAATTCTAAAATACCTAAACGTTTCTGCAGAATTAAAACTACGCCAGACTTAACGATCCATGGTTTGCTACCATCAAAGAGCACAGAAGTCCTATTAAAGGAAGAATCGTAACCAACCAAAAATTACTGAATAAAAGGAAAAAGTAAATGATTCCAGAGTTGGTCAATAAAAAATGCAGAAAAGCACAACTATGAATTTTTTGGCTATACTGTATACTCTGTATGTCTGCTGACACAATTGAGATTCTATTTTCATTTAATCTATTAGGCATAAAAATTTGAAGAAGTTCATTGTAAATTATTTCTTCTGGAAATAAAAAGAAAAAGGGATACAGTGATCTGGTTTAAGGCCTGATCAAGTATAAAAGCCAAGGCACAAAAGACCTTCTGAGGGAAGTTCTTAAATGGCAAACAATTCACAAATCAAAATAATTATTATATCATTCTTTTGATTTGGAAAATAGTCTACAATAAGTTTTATTAGCTAATCCTTTAGGTCAAAATTACTGTATATGTCTTTTATGAGGAAAAGACATTATTTAAATATTTTATCCTTGAAAAGGAACTAAAGGTTCAAAGGTGAAATGATTCTCTCAAAATAATTGCTGAATCAAGCTTGTAAAATCATTATTTTGTATATTTTAGTGAAAATGTTTAGTTTCTTAAAATTCTATAAAAATGGAAAGAATAGCCTCAAGTACGTATTACATGATTAATAGCAGTCTGCTTGCTTTATATTGGCAGTATCTGCAGGAGATACAGGGACAATGTACAGAACCTTTGTTTAAATAATTATAGCAAATATAGCCAGAAGCATCAGAAGTAATCAAGTCATATGTTTTATAGTATTTAACCATGTTTGGTTTTTATTTCCTAAGGCAAGGAATTTCTTACTATGACAACCCAGTATACCAATGAAACTATTTCCGAAGTTCTATTATTTACTTAAAGTTTATTACAGAACAATGTACTATGTATTTCATTGTAATACCTGCATGATTTTCCATCATGTCCTTAAACTTTGGGTAATGTTCTTTAGTTAAGTATGAAATCAAGTTAGTGGGTTGCAAACTGCATTTTGAAAATGAAATAGCACAGAAAAAAAAATCATTGTGCATTATAGGCAGCTAAGAGTTAGAACTCATTTAAGAAATTTTTTTATGTGTACAGGTAGGTATATGTATATAAACAAATATGTATGTGTGCAGTAGGCTGCAATATGAAAGATATTTCTTTTCAATGTGGACTATAGTAAAAAGAGCTTAAAAGTCACTGTATTATGTCTTGTTTCCTCCAAATTAGGGTGGAAAGAACACAGGCTTTAGCGACATAGATCTGAGATCAAATATTTTCTTAACTTATGTGAGTTACTGAAACCTTGAATTTTTAGATTCTTGATTTCTTCTGTAATATGGAAACAATAATATTTGTTTAAAAATGTTGCTCTGCAGGTTAAAATAAATGAGTAATGAAACATTTTATAAAATAGATGATCAATAATGGTTGCAGAATTATTATAATTATTATTAGTTTAAAAATTTCTTGTCAGTGTTCAGAATTATAACAATACTGGTCACAATTATATTGTTCAATTAAAAAATATTTGAACATATCTCCCAAATAGAAAATCACCTGTGTGATGAAAAGTATTTTAGAAGAGGAAATTACATAAATAACTTAAAAAATATATAGGTTTAAAATAATAATAATTCACCAAATTCACAGTCAGCCTAACTTACAATACTACAACTCTAGGAATGATATAAGGAGGAAATTACTGTTTACGCTTTCTGGCAAGATTTTTAAGATCTATGATACCATTAGTAAATGAGGCTGACTACCTGCTCTGGATAACTGTATTGTAACTGCACTACAATGCTGGCCTGTCAGATTTTTTCCTTCAATACTTCACTTGAATGACATCTACAAAGGAAAAGTCATCAAAGTAGCAACTTTTTAAAACAGTGATGTCTGAATAACTGTTAAAATACATGTCTTATGTTCTCATTTTGTTACTCTATTGGCTTTGGGATGTATTCAGGAAACAATCTGTGTTCATTAATTTGGCAGAAAGTATTGCTTGCTTCAACAGACAGCCCCTATTTCCCAAAGTGATGAAGTGTATTATTTTCAGACCTGTGATCTCCATTTATTTTTACATAGAAAATATGACTCTATAAGTTAATTTAAAATCAAACAAACATGTTATTAAATAGAGCAAAGTGTCTTTTTTCCTCCTTGATGAAAAATATAGAGAAATGGGGAATGAAGAGAATTCTAACTTTTCAAATATAAAAGAAACTACATACATTAGATTTGCCTTGAGAGACTGTTTACCTGCCAGGAAATGAATGCTGCCCAACCACATCTCCGTTTTGAAGATGAAAATCACTGAAGAAATCTGGACTTATGGCTCCTTCAGAGGCAATTAATCCATCTAGAAAGAAGGAAAATGGTGACTAGTGAAATATATTTGCAGGGAATAAAGGAACCAATCTTATCTTGCAACACAGTGAGAAAACAGCCTCTATATTTAACCTGAAAAGAAATATGTTACCACAATATGCTTTTCTCTCTGGGAGTAAGAAGACCAGGTGTTACTTTAGTATTTTGTTCACAACAATTGAACACGTATTGAATATCTACTATGTTCTAGATTTTTTTTCCTTAGTGTAGAGATTACAGATTGCTTTCAAGGGGTTTGCAATTTTGTGGAGATGAAAGATGGCAAAAATAAGGAGGTGAGGCAGAGTAGGAAGGGACAGTAAAGATGATATAGGCCAAAGAAAACACATGAATAAAGGAAGCAGGCATTAAATACAGTGTTGGCAGAGAGCAATACTTACATATATTGAACATTTTATACCTAGATACCATCATTTGTGTGCTGTGATTAGAGACTTAGATAAATTTCAAATAAGTGAACTTTTAAAAACAGGTTTATTTATTTATTTGAAAGGTACAGAGAAGGAGGGAGAAAGAGAGAGAGGAAGGGAGGGAGGGAGAGAGAATACAGAGAGAGAGAGAGAGCAAGAGCAAGCGAGAGAGAGCATCTTCTATCTGCTGACTGCATCCAAATGGCCATTACAGCCAGGGCTGGGCCATGCTGAAGCCAGGAGCCAGGAGCTTCATCTGGGTTTCTCATGTAGGTCGCCAGCCTAAGCACTTGGGCCATCTTTTGCTGCTTTCCCAGGAGCATTAGCAGGGAACTAGATCAGAAGTGGAGCAGTTGGGACATGAAGCAGCGTCACATGTGATGACAATGTGGCTGGCAGTGGCGGCTTAATCTGCTACACCACAATGCCAATTCCAAAATAACTGAACTTCTAAATAAGTAACACATGACAATTTAGGTGCCAAACATTAAAACATACACATAAACTTATATTAGAAATCTCCATAAATATAAACTTCCTGTGTTCTTAAAAGGGTATTCTGCACATAACTTAAATACTTCTTTGTGACTTGATCTTCATTACAAATATCAATTATTTTAACTTTTATTTAATGAATATAAATTTCCAAAGTACAGCTTATGGATTACAATGGCTTCCCCCTCCCCCCCATAACTTCCCTCCCACCGGCAACCCTCCCCTTTCTCTCTCCCTCCCCCCTTCCATTCACATCAAGATTCATTTTCAATTCTCTTTATATATAGAAGATCAGTTTAGCATATATTAAGTAAAGATTTCAACAGTTTGCACCCACATACAAATACAGAGTGAAAAACACTGTTTGAGTACTAGCTATAGCATTAAATCACAATGTACAGTAACTGCTGAATTGTTAATGGAGACCCTTGGAATCTGTCTTCTTTATTAAATTTAAAATACTTAAGAGAGAACTTGAGTTTTCACTAAAGTGTCAATAGTATTTAGTCCAGTTTTTATGTCCACTAGAAGTTAAAGATTCTATAAATCGAAAGCAGATAGACACTGAAAATTTACAAAACAATGAAATAATGGGAAATGTCAATACACCATAGATTAAGAAAAAAGCAGATGAAAGAAACCAATTTTATGTGGATCTAAGATTCTATGAAAGTCTAGTTAAAATTAACAAGGCTAACATTACAAAAATCAGTAAGTTCTTCTGTTGAATTAAAATCAAATAATTGATGATCAAGGCTTAGGAAAGCTGCCCATTTTAGAGGAACAAAGCTAAGTAAAATGCCAAAATTACACCACACTTTGAAAATGAATGCAAAATATTCAGCATACCAGCTGAAGAAAAGATCTCAACAGTAAGAATACAGTATTTCAGATATAAATACCACCAAATGAAAAGATGGGTCAATTATGTTAAAAAGTTTATGTTTATAAAATGTGACCTAATGAAGTGAGCCAGATTAGGAAGAATATACCAAAAACTGAACAAATGATCAACTTCTTATTTTTGATTCAGTGCTCCACTGTCTTCAGTGGGGACAGTGAGTACCAAAAGGATAAACAGAATTCAGGGAAACTGAATTCAGGAAACGACCAGACCATCATCAAATAGAGATCAAGCTAAAAATTCCTGAGTTTAAAAATTCAGTTAGGAATTTAAAAAACCCAGAACCCCACTAGTTTAATAATACAATAAACCTAATAATATGTGAATTTAAAAATAAGTTTATACCTTTAAAGTTCATTTTTTATAATCTGTCACTGCAGCTGACTCAGTAAACTGCATGGCTTGACAAAAGTTATGCAGTTCTGACATGGGCAAGCTTTCTTCACTAGAATGAGGTATGTAAGTTAAGCCCTCATCTCAAGTACCTCAACTTCTTAAAATATATTCATTTATTTCTCAGAATTATTCATCTAAAATTACTTCTTTTTAGATAAATATTAAAAAATAATCCTGTCTTCTTGATTACAAATTCAAGGTGAATTTAGGAGAATCCTTCTTAAGCTCCAACTCCATCCTTGTTCTTTCAAAGATAGCAACAAGGAACCAAAGAATTTCATGGCAAGAGAAGTGGAAGAAAACAGAGCACTCTATACACTATACAGTATTATATACATTTTGGTTATTAGATTTTATGAGGTTGTCAGGGCATAGTTAACCTATTTTTCTGAGATAATTCAAATAATGACGATAAAGAGTTACAAACACAAAAAATGATGAAATCATAGCAAATTTGTTTTTGTCATAGGTAACTTATCAACTTTCTGATTTCCAAGAGCCAGATATAAATATAAACAAAGTAAAAAAATATAAAATCAAAGTGAAAAAAACACAAAATTTTACTACTTCCTGGTATGTGAGGGTACTTCAAAAAGTTCACGGGAAAATAAATTAAAAGATAAGCTTATTTTGATGCAAATATTTTTCAAATCCATGTATAGTTTTATGTAATATTAACTTCTATTAACTTTCTGAAGCACCCTCACATTGGCACTGAAAAAAAACTTCATTTTTATTTCCCAAGTGAAAATACAATATTGGGTTCTTTGATGAACTAGCCAAAAGTGAAAATGTAGCTTGTGGGAGAAAATGGATGTCAATAATATAGAAAATGAAAAAAAAGAAATGACTAACATAAATCTCATTTGGTTATACCTGATAAAACATATCACAGAAATACAAGGTAAATGAACATCGTATTGTTAAGAATGCTTCTGAGGCAGAAACAAATCATTGTAAGCGTTATATACCAGGAGTTTAATTAACATACCAAGAATATGATTCACCACAATCGATGAAGAATAAAAAGTATAGTGTTATTTAGAAATGTGCAGTAGCAATATAGCTTTACAAGTTTTCATGTAGCTTCTTTATGGGTAAAAGCATTAAAGGAACATTAATTTTCAGTAATTTCAGATTCTAAGGAAAAAAATACTGTTTCTTATTTCAGTTGATAACAATAAGATTTTCTTAAAAACAAGAGAGAAACACATACGTTTTGACTGATATTTAATAGTTTGAAAATATATAGGAATATTAACAATTAGGAAGCAGCAAATGCCATTTTACTTTAAAATAAAAGGTAAGTACTGAGAATCATGGATCATTTAGTTGAATCTTTGTGGTGGAAAAGCTACAAAGCCTGCTTTAGGGGCCAGCACAGTGATATAGTAGTTAAAGCTTCTGCCTGTGGAGCTGGCATCCCATATGTGCGCCGATTCAAGTCCCGGCTGCTCCACTTTCCATCCACCTCCCCGCTAGTGGCCTGGGAAAGCAGAAGAGGTTGGACCAGTTGCCTGGGCTCCTGTATCCACACGGGAGACCCAGATGAAGCTGCTGGTTCCTGGCTTTGGTCTAGCTCAGTTCCGGCTGTTGTGGCCACTTGGGGAGCCAACCAGCAGATGGAAGACTTCTCTCTCTGTCTCTTTCCCTCTCTGTCTATAACTCTGCCTCTTGAATAAATAAATAAATCTTTAAAAAAATCTGTTTTATCAGAAGTAACCTGACCTAGTGGCTTTCATGGAGACCCAGTGGCTTAATAAAATGCTTCAAGCATTCACCAAATATGCAATGTTATAAATTCATCTGTTTCTGAAGATATAATTGCACATGATAAAAGAGGCTGCCATTACTTTTAGACTTCCATGAGATATACTGAAAAATGCTATAGAAATTCATTTGGTCCTAGATTATTCATAGAAAATGAAGTTGGTAAAATATTTAATAAACTAAAAGAGAAAAAGTTTACAATGAGAACCATATCTTTAAACTCATTGTATGTAGTATCCACATATCACCAGGTTTACAGGTGTTAAAAAAATCATGAGGATATCTAATGATAATATCTTACTTCTCAAATACTTAAATTTATTTTCCAATACCTATTGCTACTTCTAAATTTTGGTATATAAAATATACATGATTTAGATTTCTCATGGAAGTATGAATTATATAAAGTATCTTTATGAAAAATATGATTTAAGAGGTTAATTTAAATGTGTTAATTTGGAAATGTGGCATAACTTTTTAGAAATTTGTTCTGAAATTTAAAAATTCATTTATGTACATATTTATTTTGAGAGGTAGAGAGAGTATCAGTAAAATGGTGCAGTCTTGTCTATGGTGCGGTCTACACCCTGGACATCGTCCTAGGCTCTAGCTCCCACCGCCATTGCTGGAAGCCAGGTGACTACATGGCTCAACCACAGGTGCCAGCTCTACTCCCACCCTGATGAGATTCACTGCTCCTACTTCCCTGCCCGCCCCTCCCTCCCCCAGCAAAGGCTTAGCAGGGCCTTTTCCTGAACACGTGGTGCGCTCTCTCTCTCTCTCTCTCTGTTTTATGCTTTCCTTCTCCTCCCTGTTTTCCCTCTTCGCCCCTTCCCTCGGTCTGTCAGGTTTCTCCACCAATAAACCTTTTCCCTTACTCCGGTGTTTGGTGTGTTTTGTGGTGGCCTTACAAAAGAGAGAGAGAGAGAGAGAGAGAGAGAGAGAGAGGGAGGGAGGGAGAGAGGGAGGGAGGGAGGGAGGGAGAGAGTCATCCCATCTCTAGGTTCCTTCCCCAAACGCCCACAAGGAGCCAAGTCAGGCGGAAGTCTGGAGTCTGGAACTCAGTCCAGTTCTCCCATATGAGTGGCAGGGACCCAACTACTTGAGTCATGACTGCTGCCTCCCAGAGTCTGCATTAGCAAGGGAGTTTGAGTCAGCAGCTGGAGCTGGGACTCAAACCTAGTACTCTGGAGTACGGTGCAGGCATTTCAAGCAGCTATGCCAAATGCCTGTCACTGTTCTGAAATTTTAATCTTAATAACAGAACAAATTTGATTGCTGAGGTGGTTAATAGTAGTATTTGGTTTTAGAAACTGGCAACTGATTCACACTGAGGGGTGGCTATCAATCTTCAAAGCAAGAAACATGATTCTAAAAATATTATGATCTCTATTAACAAAAATTTAGATCACATATATTTTACATATTTTACTTCATGAATACAGAATATGCAAGGAACAGCTGCTTGCCATTACTGAACTAAGAAATTCTGGTTGGTTGAAATTAATGATATTCTCCATCTGGTTTGAAACATAAGGCACCATTTCATAACTACTGTGAAGTTCAGTCAGGAAGAAATCTATTTGATTTTCAAAGTAAAGCATAAATCTTCCTTGATTCAAGTACAGGATCTCCATCAAATATAAAGTAATATATAGTATCCATGGGAAATGTGCACAATACAGTTATGAAAACACATGAATGAATATGCGAATGGAATTACTAATGTGTTTACAGTGATAGGATGTAATAGTTTATGCAAACATCTAATCACTGATTACACACAAATCATTGTGATAAAATATTTAGAAAACATCTATTGAGAACATTTAACACATTGTAGGAATACAAATAGAAAAAGCAAAAAGTAAGTAACTAATTCAGATACAATTAATATTTTTTGAAAAATTTCCTGCCTGCTAGAGAGATCTTAGGTAGAAATTCCTTCCTTCTTCTCTTTAACTAAGTGGCTTTAATACATTTAATAAATACTGGTAACAGTGAAAAACATAAAGAGCCAGAATATGAAAAATTTACTAATTTCTGTGCCAAACTCATCCCTGGAAAAAGGCAGTGTGACAGAATCAACAAGGTTATATAGTACATAAAAGACTCATATGAATTTTATCTTACATATATTAGCAGAATTTAGATGGCAAACAAGATTGCTATAAAATGTCTACATCTTCTGAACAGTCAGAAAATAGAATTTAGTAATTTGAAACTAAAGCAAAATCATGACAAAATTAAACTGTTATGATTAAATACATTGGAAAATAAAACATAATAGTTTATACATTTTAATAACTGCAGAATAGAAAAAAATGGAAAGAATTTCTCAACACAAGTCAGGATCCTGAAGACGTCAGTTTAAATTAAACATCTGAGAAAGTAATGAACTTCTAGCAGTAATTAATTTTCCTGGCCACGGGCTTTTTTATGGAGATGCATCAAAGGTTAACTTGGAAAACAGTAGTAAGTTAATAGGTTAGCTTGTTGAATATATATGTTACATCTGAAATCATTAGCAACAGGCCACTTTTATACTAAGGAATCATTTACAAAGCAGGAGTGTGTGCAAGCTGAGACCAAAACCCTATTTATAGCACATGGACACATTGTTTATTATTGCTTTGGTCATCACCTTACCTGAGCTGTAGAAAAGGTCAGGTCGTTCGAGAATATCTCCTTCATGGATGTATGGCTCAATTCGATCGTCACCATACAAATACTGCTCACTCTCATCCATCTGACGACTCTCCACCATCTCCAGCCACTGAGAGTTATGCCAGCGAAACTTTTCACTCTGAATTTTCTTAGCCCATTCTTCATCATATTCCTATGGAAAACAAATAGTCAACAGTTAAAACTGTTACTGTCCAGACTTTCTGCCCTGGAACTCAGCAGCACTTGAAGAAAATTTTGAGGGCTTTAATTTGGGTTAAAGGGAGTGTTAAAAAAATTGCTCATAACTAATAAAAAGCAATTAAAAATATTTTTTAAAAATTCGTTTGACAGGTAGAGTTATAGACAGTGAGAGAGAGAGAGAAAGGTCTTCCTTCCGTTGGTTCACCCCCCAAATGGCTGTTACGACCAGTGCTGCGCCGATCCAAAGCCAGAAGCCAGGTGCCTCCTCCTGGTCTCCCATGTGGGTGCAGGGGCCCAAGCACTTGGGCCATCCTCCACTGCCTTCCCGGGCCACAGCAGAGAGCAGGACTGGAAGAGGAGCAACCGAGACTAGAACCCGGCGCCCATATGCGATGCCAGCACTGCAGGCGGAGGATTAACCAAGTGAACCACGGCACTAGCCCTTAAATACATATATTAAGGATGTATCTGGATTATAGATCAACAATGGCAATGCAAACATCAGAGAAATTTAAATTTCACAAAGTCTTACTTAAATATTAATTAAGTATTTCCAGAATTTCAGTAAGCGATCAGACTTCAGATTGCAAAGATTCCTGTGGCTATAATTATTTATGGCACTAATGACAACATGTGGTTCACATTCAGATGACCTCTTTTGCTATGTCTTTAGTATAGATAAACAGTAGGGGGCAGAATCACCAATAAAGTATTTCCTTTGACTGCTGAAATGGTTTACCACAGAAAATAGCATAATTTAATTTAATTTGGTTTTTCAATTACACAATAATGATGTTTTCTTATTTAGTGATACAGCATGAGCATCTCTAACCTGAAAATCCAAAATCCAAAATGTTCCGAAATCTGATATTTTGAGCATGAACATGATACTCAAAAATCTTGGACTTCAGAGCATTTCAAAAACATTTATTTATTTATTTATTTGAAAGGGAGAATTACAGAGAGAGAGGGACAGACAGACAGACAGACACACACACACACACAGAATATCTTTGATCCACTGGTTCATTCCGTAGAGTTGCAACCAGGAGCCAGGAACTCCATCTGGATCGCCTACGTGGGTGGCAGGGGTCCAAACACCTAGATCATTTTTTGCTATTTTTTCAGGCACATTAGCAGGGGGCTGAATTGGAAGTGGAGCAGCCAGGACTCGAACCAGCACTGATACAGGATGCAGGCATTGTAGGTGGCAGCTCCATTCCCTGTGACACGATGATGGCCCTGCCTTGACTTTAGACCATTTTGGATTTTGGATTAGGTTTGCTGATCTGGTAAGGTCTATGAAAATATTCCAAAATGCAAAACAAAACAAAACAAAACAAAACAAAAGCCAAAACCCCTAAAATCTGAAGCACTTCTAGTCATAAACTTTTCAGATAAAGGATCTTGAACCTCTATTTCTTTAAATGTCTGTGTTGTGACCACACAATCTTTAGAAACAGGACTGACTTTTTCCTTGACAAACGCATCTGTAACACCTGTCACAGAAAAAGCTCTTGGTAAGTATCATTGAAAAAAAAATAGATTACTTAAATCTATGGTAGTACCTATGACCTTACCTATCCCATATGCTGTGGCTACTTCTGACTAATATGAACACTTAACAGTTAGCAATAGATACAAAGGTGGGAAAAAAGTGTCACATATTTGACATCCTAATTCTAGGGTTCTTGGTTTTAAATTCCTCTGTCATATTGTGAAATGTGTGGTTGTAACTGCTTTATTTATTTTTATTTATTTATTTATTTTTTGATAGGCAGAGTGGACAGTGAGAGAGAGAGAGAGAGAGAAAGGTCTTCCTTTGCCGTTGGTTCACCCTCCAATGGCCGCTGCGGCTGGCGCGCTGCAGCCGGCGCACCGCGCTGATCCGATGGCAGGAGCCAGGTACTTATCCTGATCTCCCATGCGGTGCAGGGCCCAAGCACTTGGGCCATCCTCCACTGCACTCCCTGGCCACAGCAGAGAGCTGGCCTGGAAGAGGGGCAACCGGGACAGAATCCAGCACCCTGACCAGGACTAGAACCCGGTGTGCTGGCGCCGCAAGGCGGAGGATTAGCCTATTGAGCCGCAGCGCCGGCCAAGTTGTAACCGCTTTAAAAGGGAGTCAGAGGGATGCCAGGCAACAGCACTGTCAAGATGATCACAGTAACTGAGAGATGGATCCAATATACAATTTAGTCAAATGCTGAATAACTTTTAGTCTAAGCCAAGATTCAAGTAAAAGGTCATTACCATAGAATAAATGTCTGGGGTTATTATAATTTTCTCATTAAAATTTCAAAGTTCAATTTTAAGTTGCATAACTTAAAGAGTTTATCAATAAATCTGTAAATACTGTCAGCTGTTAGACTGCATGTTCTGTATTGGCACAGTTTTCAAAACAGTTAGATGGTCTCTTTTAACTGAGGTTGGTGAAAGTAGAAAATATATATATTTTTTGGCCATGGTCATGCTAATGGAAATTCTTCCAAGAAATTAATTAGATTTTCTTTCTTTTAGTTCTATTCTTCTATTAGTTTTTCTTTTAGTTCTATTCTTCTTTTAGTTATATTCTTCTATTTAATTCTATTCTTCTATTAGTTGTCTATATATTTATAACTTAATTAGTTAAAACTAAATTAGAGTAAGAGCTGTTATTATTGCATTTTTACTTTAATAAAACATTTTTATTCAACTTACAGAATTTCAATACTTAAACCAAGGAAGATCTTTTTATTTTATTTATTTATATTTATTTATTAGAAAGGCAGAGTTACAGAGAAGCAGAGAGAGAGAGAGAGAGAGAGAGAGAGAGAAGGCTTCCATCTGCTGGTTCACTCCCCAAATGGCCGCAACAGCCAGAGCCGAACTGATCCGAAGCCAGGAGTCAGGAGCCAGGAGCCTCTTCCAGGTCTCCCACGCAGGTGCAAGGGCCCAAGCACTTGGGCTATCTTCTACTGCTTTGCCAGGCCACAGCAGAGAGCTGGATCAGAAGTGGAGCAGCTGGGACTCGAACAGGTGCTCATATGGGATGCTGGCAGTGCACACCAGGGCTTTCACCCCCAACACCACAGTGCTAGCCCCTCCCCCCATCTCACTCCCCAGGGAAAATCTTTATCCCCAGCTGCATCTACAATGTTTACTATGTAAAGTGACTATTAAGATATAAACAAAACCAAATGCCAGATCTTGTTTTTATTTTTGTGGTCACTGATTAGATCTGATAGTAATTAAACCAATCATCTAATCACAGCAATCACACATAGATTGCTATGATAAAACTAGAGAGTAAACATAAAGCACTTAGAAAATTTATATTGAGAACACTTAATAAATGTTAGCTGTTACTGTTTATTAATTCAAGTAACAGCTTTCTGAAACAGGTACTATAATTACTGCCATTTTACAAATAAGAAAATGAGGCCCAGAACACTAGAGTAACTTGATCTAGGACATACAGCTGGTTCTGGCTATTACAGCAGTTCATACCTTGGGCCAGCAATGTGGAAGACATAGTTAAATGGAGGATAAATGAAGATTTGTCAGGGTCACTAAAAATGGACTCTTCACTGAATGAGATTATACCAAATGACCTTTAAGGTCAACTTTCAGCTCTAAGATTTTGTGAATGAGTTGAATTGTTGACCAAGCAGTGATAGGGAGGCATTAGCTGCTGGTCTGGTAAGTGTAACACTGTATTCTCAGTCATGTTTTCTCTGACCTGGCCACATTCAGGAGTGTAGTAGGAAAGAGGGAGTTGAAAATAATAAGCACCTACATGCTGTTACAAGCAGTTTTGTGGGTGACAGATTTTGGTGGTTCACTCTGGGTTTGAAAAATGAAATAAAATATTGTGATGCCTAATTATGTAATAGCACTGTGATCAGTTTCAAAGCAATTTAGCCTAAATGCTTGATTTAACTGAACCTTTTTAAAATTCATGTCTTCAAAAGTACAGTTTTTGGTTCTGTATGTGACTCTTGGTAGATGCTCAGTTAAAAAGATCTGTAAGAAGATATTATTGTCACATTTGAAATAGCCACATATTTACAAAAGTATCCTTAGAGTATAACGAATGAACTTACTTATAACCATTTTTTCACTATTTAATACACAAGCAAAAAGCAAAACTGTATTTTAGGCAAGAATTTAGGCAAGAAAAACTGGCTTTTCTTCTTAAAGAGAAGTTAGTTACAGGTGACTAAGACTCCAAGAATATGCCTTGTAATATTAGAAATCACAATAAGGCCACATTAAATACTAGTACTAATTTGAGTGTTATTATTTCTTTTAAGAATAGCTGCTTGTTTCACTTGGCTCAAAAGGCATAAAACTATCTTTGGGGGGAGGTTGGGGGAGGGGCACTGTGGCACAGTGGGTTAAGCCATGGTTTGGGAGATCTGCATCCCATACCAGAGTGCCTAGGATTGAGTCCTGCCACTGCCTCTGATCCAGTTTCCTGCTCATGCGCACTCTGGGAGACACAGGTTAGTGGCTCAAGTACCTCAGTCCCTGTCAGTTATGTGGAGAACTAAATGATGTTCTAGGCTCCTGGCTTCAGCCTGGCCCAGTCCTGGCTGTTGTGGGCATTTCGGCAGTGAACCAGCAGATGGAAGGTCTCTCTTTACATCTGTCACTCTGCCTTTCAAATAAATACAAATAAACTTTAAAAGTAACTTATAATTTTAGTAGAAAATTTATAAATCTGAATTATCTGAAGAAGTATTCATGGAAGGTAACAGAAGCACATAGATATCTAGTATGAGAATAAGAATTAAAATTCATTCAAATGCCAAAGCCATATGAAATATGAAGTTTGCTATTTCAGTAACAGTAAAAATTACTTCCTAATAATACTTGTGAAATGTTACATAGTAGGTAACATTAAAAAAGGCTTAAAGTTAATAACCATAAAGTATATTTAAGCCTAGTAAGTAATGCTCAACAGAAAACATTCCTGCTTACTCAAAG